GCCATCAACATTTGCTAACTCATGAATGGTACGCAATGCTTGGAAAGGAGCTGCGGATGTCCCATACGTGACTGTACACAATCGATATTCACTAATGGGGTCATTTTGTGAAAAACGCCAAAAAATTCTTAAGTAGTCTCGATCAGTCGGTTGTATTAATATTTGACGGTACATCTGTTTTACGTCTGTGATAAACAAGTATTTCTAAATCCGTGCACGTAAAAAAATAGCTTGTATATCAGGTTGAAGCTTAGGCCCAGTATACATAGATTCATTTAAAGACAAGCCAGCACTTGTACGTGCTGAAGCATTAAATACAACACGCAATTTGGTTGTCTTACTATCAGGTCGAAGTACACAATGATGAGGAATATAGTATGTGTGCGCATTTGCAATTTCTGTTAAAGGTACAAGTTCCATATGACCAGTAGTTAGATAATCTTTCATGAAGTCTACATATTGATCACGAAGAGTCTGATTGTTATTCAATCGAGCTTCTAAAAATTTAAACCGACGTATAGCCATAGATTTTGAATCTCCTAAGATAGGTCGAAGAGTTCTAAATGGGATAGTTACCATAAACCGTCCACCTTTGATACGAGTAGTAGTCTTTTGATAAATTTGTTCAGCCATTTTATCATCAGGACTTAAATGGCGAGTAAATGGTATTTCTTCTAAGTCCCAGAACTTTTTTAAAGTAGTATCCAGGGTCTCCGAAACAGTAATATTTAATGAAGTAATTTCTAATTTATTACACTGTTCAACTGGTCCCATTAAAGTCCATCCAAAAATAGTTTCCATAGCAATTGGTTGACCTGGTTTACCAGACATTTTTCCATCAAGAAATATTTCAGGTAAGATGTCTGCCCCAAGTAACAAATCAATTGAACCAGGAACATTGTATAATGGATCAGCCAGTGATAGGTTTTTCAAGTGTGGCCAATTCCCATGTATTAAAGAAGTTTGTGGAGTAGTTCCTGTTATATGAGCAACAATCAAAGCTTCTATACACAAAGATAGTGACTGACTATCACGAGGTACCAATGTAACATTTGATTTTCCCCGAACAGTCGCCGAAGTCTGGTTTGCAAACGTAGTAATTTTAACACTTGAGGGACACTTTTTTAACATTAACAAATTGACACAATGTTCAGTCATAAAACTTGCTTGCGAGCCACTATCTAATAGGGCTCTGAAAGTTTTCCGATTGCCATTTGCAGCCAACACATCCAAAAGTACAGTGGACAATAATATTATTCGCTGTGGTTGACCTCTAACAACTAACGACGAAGTACTTTGTTCTTCACCATCTGCTTTAGTGGTCGGAGAAGACGAAGACCCGAAATGCAGCAGTGTATGGTGAGATCGATTACATGTCTGACATTTGTTTTTAGAGGAACATGACACAGAAGAATGACCCAGACCGAGACAATTAATACAAAGATGGTGAGATTTTGCTATTTGAAAACGTTCTTGGGCTGTTTTATTAATGAATTGAGGACACTTCCGAATCAAATGAGATTGCTTACACAGTATACAGCGAAAATCTAGTAACCGAGTAGTTGTTGTAGCTAGCACTTTTGACGAAGATTGAGACCGGTATTTTACATTCGAAAATTGATTTTGTTTATTAAATTGTTTTTGCTGACTATATAGTTGTAATGTTGAAAAAGAATTCGAATGAATATCAGCAGTTCTAATTTGACGACGTAGAAAGTCTACAAATTCATTTATTTTTGGATTATGTTTTTCTCCAACAGTCATCTCCCATCGAGCACGCAAATCACGATCGAGGTGTTTTTCAAATATATGGATAAGTATAGGACTCCATTGTCGTGTGACAAAATCTAAATTATCTAACGCAGCTGTGTGCTCTAGAATACAATTTAACAAATTTTTTATTGAAGTAGCATCGTTAACCTTTACTACATATGGAGCTAGAAGAGGTTCAAAATGGATACGAGCTAAGTCGCGTTTATTTCCGTATCTGGCCCGTAATATGTCCCAAGCACTATGATAATTTGCAACTGTTAAGGAAAGGTGAGCAATTAATGTATGAGCTTCACCTTCAAGAGAAGTTTTTAAAATTTCAAATCTTTCAACATCAGACATCTGAGGAGTATGTGACAAGATTGACGTAAAAAGTTGCTCAAAGTTCTGCCACTCTTTCATAACACCGGAAAAGGTAGGGAATTTTCGTTTTGGATAGTGAAGATTGTGTAAATAAGGGTTAGTAGCGTCTATTGATTGAGTCAAGTTGACACTTTCCGACATAACTATGTCTTTTTTTGTGACAGCGACATTTGATTTATATCAGCAAACGCAGCGAGATCATAATACAACGAGTCGAAACTATCAATTAATGAATTGCTCGCCGAACAATCAGTGACATCATTCGGCGCTGTTCCATTACTAACTGCAGTTTCCATTAACTGAATATCATTTTCGACACATTTACGAATACTATTCAATTCAGTCAACATATTTTTAACTTTGGCCCGTTTTTCGACACTTAACCTATCATTATTAAACTCAATCATGGCATGAACGAATGTAGTGACTCGGTTTATTGCACGAACGACACGAGCTTTTGCATCAACATATGCAACAAAAACGGGTGGTGACATATTAAAACAAAGTGATAAATAAAACTATATTTTGTTTTCAAAGAGAAGATAAATGTGTATGACACTGTAGTTCGACGAAAAGGATGTATAAACGATCTCGGGGAACTAGAACGTAGAGATAACTACAGTATCAACCAATGTAGATTTAAAATATATTAAGTTATTTTCACACTTAACAAAAGTAATTTAAAGAAAAAATATCAACTGTAAATCAGAACCAAAGAACAAAACAAAATAATAATAATAATAATAATAATAATAATAAAATAATAGAATAAGAAATAAAATATTCTATAAAATAGAATAAGAAAACAAACCAGAATTAACAGTAATTTTAGTGAACCATAAATAATATAATAAGGTCACCGTTTTTCTTTTTTAATCCGTGTATGAAGGACCATAAAATGTTTATACTTTAACTTTAAGTTTAATTAATTTGACAAATAACTATTAATGTTATACATTAATGTGGTTAATTACCTGTCGGATGAAGGCGATTATTTCGCCTAAAGATCAACACTTTTCTGTTCACCAATAAGAATTTAATACTTTTGGTTTTGATTAAAAAAAATTTTATTATTACAATAATTAAATTGCATTTACAAGTAAGAAAACAAATAAAAGTAAATTTATGTTGTACAATAAAAAAAAAGAACCAGATGGCTTCAGTTGCCGAATATCAACGAAAAAAAGAAAGTAAAGTAATGACAAACAATTTATCATACGCATAATAATTATAAAAGCAATAGTTGCCGATAAAACGATAAACAGAAAAACACAAACACTTAAAATTAACTATTTACAATAACAGATGACAAACACACGAGAAGGGAAGGGAAAATTTTACAATGAGAGGCGCGAGAGAATATTACGATAACAAAGATTATTTACATATACATTTTGTACACTAATGCCTGAACAATTATTATAAATAATTATTATTTGTTTCATATAAAATTCTTACATTATCATAATTTACGTTTAAAAATGTTGTGATATTATTCCTGTGGTATCTCCACCACGTCGTTTTACGATTGTTATCCTAAATATTAGGCCTAGCTATGGCCTAATCGATCTATCCTAGTTTTACATGTAATTTCGTCCACTATTATGTTGTTGAATTTCATTTTAGCCTAGATATTTATGGTTAATTTAAATAATTAAAAAATTAATTAAGTTCTGAATATTTTAATTATAGAATCTTTTTCAACACTAAGAGTTATATAGAAATGATTACTATGATTTATATTTAAATGATTTATTACAATAAATATGCAAAACAAAAAATGATTTTAACGAAATGTTGACCTTTTTTTATCAATTTACTGTAAATATAATTTCAAAATGTCCTGAATGCATTATAATCTTAACACTGCCATTTTTAAAATTCTTATAAAATTTAGTGATATCAATATCAAACTTGCAAGATGATCTTAAAATAATCTTTTTTGGATAGAATTCGAATTTTCCAATTATGTTCCAGAGAAGACTACTGCTTATTGTTTGGTAATCCATGATAAAATAATCACCTATATAACTCGTTTACGGGTGATGTTAGAAAATTATAAATAATTTTATTACTATCATTGTATATGTATGTATTTTTTTTTTAAATAATAATAAAAAAAATTTTTTTAGAATAAATTGTTGTATCATTTATTATTAAAAAATAAAAATAACGCTATTATATTGTAAGATAATTAAAATATTTTACAATGTACAAACGCATAGTAGAACATATACTATAAAGAAAAATTAAATAAATAAATAACTCTATTTTTGAATAATATATATATTTGAATATTAGTTATGTATATACATTAGGGTGTCCCTTATTTTGAAAATTTTGGAAATTCTTCGGGCTCACCCCCCAAATTTGTGTGTATACATATAAAAAGTGACTACAAAAAATTTCAGGCCGATCAGATAAGTTTAACCCGTGCCGACTTGGGGTTGAAAATCGGCCAAAAGGGGTACTTTTTTAGTTTTTAGCAATGAACTCGTAAATTAACGCTCTCACAGAAATAAATATAAAAATTAAATTGTAGAACTAATTGTTTTGTATAAACTAAGTCCTAACAGTTTTTCTTTTAGATCCATTAGTTTTCTAGAAAAATGTCAAAATACATAATATTTCGTAAAATTGCCGAAATTAGCATATTTACAAATATTTCATCATATATCATGAACCATATGTGATACGACCTAATATTTCATACAAAAATTGTTTAAAATTAAATTTTACGAAATAAAAGTCATAAGTACAAATTTCATTGAACGGATCGTTTTATTGCTATAGCTGAAATATATATGAATTGTATTGCTTAATTTAAATATATTTCATTTATATTGTAATGTGATGTATTTGTTTGACTTAATCCCATAATTATACTTACTTTTTAATATTATTGTATCAATAAAAAAAAAATTACTACATAAAATACAAAATGTTATATTTAAAATAATTCACAAATTATAAAAAAAATATACATTAAAAACTATGTTTTAATGGTTCTTTGTGGCAATTAGGATATAATATTCTGTGCTCTTGGACACAGCGTAAAAGTAACTCAGCTTTTTCATCGTTTATAGTTAAACTTTCATGAAAATCTTCCATTAGCTTAACCACTCTCTCTGCAGAGTCATTTACTACTTTAAGTGAACATACAATTTCTTTTCCGTGTAAATAAAAATTATCAGTATTCCAATTACTTGGATCCAAATTTAAAAAATTAGTATTGATATCGAATCGTTTAAAAAATTTCATACTGCTTTTTGACAAAAAAGAAGCTGCAGTTTTTTCTAAAAAAATATATCAATTATTCAATAGTCATTAAAAAATAAAGATATCAAAAATTATTATACCTGAAAATGATTTGTCAATATCACTCAATGAAAGAATAAAACGTTTGCTAGGGTTTATTATTGACTCATTATTAAGGAATACAACCTTTAATTTTTTTATTTCGGTTGAAATGGAATCGTCAAAAAATGTTAGAGCAGCTGTTTCCTCTGTTAAGTACCATAAATGATTACAAATTTTGTTTAACATTGCTTTCGGAATTAACAGTTGTTCTTTTTCATTTAACTTTAATTTTTTGATCAAATTTAAGTGGTTATTCGGAGCTTTGGACGGTTCAGTACAGTTAAACCAGGCTTTTCAATAAAATCGAATAATAAAATCGGCCCCTTTTGGCCGATTTTCAACCCCAAGTCGGCACGAGTTAAACTTATCTGATCGGCCTGAAATTTTTTGTAGTCACTTTTTATATGTACACACACAAATTTGGGGGGTGAGCCCGAAGAATTTTCAAAATAAGGGACACACTAATATACGTATTATAAGAAAATAAAGTAAAATTAATCAAAGATTAATTTATGAAAAATCGATCTTATACACAGGATAGAGAAAGTTTTCGTTTGTGAGATGTTATTGAATAGCTGTTATTTTGAAAATGTTTTTTGAAAGTATCATATTTAATTGTAGAACTCGTGTAATAATTCACATATTTAAAGTCGTACTCCATTGGTCCGTCATTTACATCATAAGTCTGTTAAAAAAATTATCGGTATAATACATCAATAATTTAAAAAAATATATATATATATAAAGTGGCGATGGAACAAATTTTGAACCGTGGGGGCTGAGCACAACTACAAATACAGAGGAAGGTAAAGATTTTAGTCACAGGAGTATAAATTCTAGGAAACTGTCCGTGAAGGTTATGCCCTCATAGAATTTTTCCCGTGGGGGTAGTTGCCCCCATTGCCCCCATTTTTTTGCGCCCATGTATATATATAAACATCAGTGTTTAAAATATATTATATTTCAAATACTAACGTTTAATTTTTATTTTATTTTTGTAAACTTCTTTTGTTATATAGTCATCTTCTTGCATCATTATTTGCTGCATGAAATCTGGTTCGTTGACATTTATATTTATATGACTGAAATTTTTCATGATCACGAATAAATTTTTTTATTGAATTTTCTGATAATTCCTTTATTTTTTGCTATGAAAAGTAACTAATTATAGTTTAGACTTGTGATTTAATAACTTTTTGTCCATATGATAGTTTTTGTACAACAGCTTCATGAATAACAAATTCTAGTTCATGAAGTTTATGTACGTTTCACGCAGTTAGTAAAATTCACGAGTCTTTAACAAATCTTGATTGAAGTATTATAATATTTTCTGTTCTATAGAACGCTTTTGATGTAACAACATTTGGATCCTCATTTATTAACACACATTCGGATTTAATTGGTACAGTTGATAAAACATTAGACAGCAATTGTCTCATGTATCCAAATAGATGATTAATAAACCCTTCATTAACGCATATATGTCTCCAAAGTGTAACAATATGTGCTTTAATTTGTAGTGTAATAAAATAAAATCCAATTTGAATAAACTTACTTCTCTAAAAGAAATGTTGAATAATGTAACGTTCAATAGTTATCCTGGATTTAGTGGTGTGTATTTTGGCCATCTATTCAGTGTTTTTCCGAAGTCATTTTTTCTTATGTATGGGACTGGATAGTCTATGTTAGAAGAGTTTTTGTAAGATATAAACATGTTTATTTTGCTGACTCGATGTTGACGGTGTTATACTGTAGAACTTATATCGAGTAATCAAGTAATTTACTCTATTTTATAGCTCATAGAGAGATTCTAACTCAATCACTTAACCAATGAAATTATTATATATTTAAAAAAAATTTAAGTAGGGTTTAAAACACACACAAATACAAACGACCATCACATAAATGTTTTTAACAGGTTAAAACCCCCGATTCGATACTGATGATTTTTTTAACCCTCTAAGAATTTTATTCATAAATAAATAAATAAAGAACCCCGTATAGAGATATTCAAAAATCCCTATAGGGGGTAAACTCATTATATTAAAAATGTGAACACTTGTATTAACCGGTAAAAACCAAATACGATTCGGTCAATTCTCTATTTGAACCTCCCAAGAAGAGTATTTATAAATAACGAACTCTATAGAGATATTAAAAATCTCAATTGAGGGCAAATCCCATTTGTTACAAATAGGAAAACTTGTATTAACTGGTAAAAACCAGATTCAATTCGGTTTATAAAAGTGTTAATTTTTTTTTTCAACGGGTGTGAGTCATGTTTGAATAATATTACACATAAACCGTGTAAAACTTATAGCTTTTAAACAAAATATACGTTTTTTAGTTAAAATTTAAAATATTCGTTAACATGGAATAATAACCTATAGTATTATGTAAATACCAAAACTTCCGTCAAAATCCTAATAGTAAACGATACCGTTACTAAAGTTTCTCCGTTAGTAATTTTTTTTATATACTAGATAATATTTGATATATAAAAATATTAATGCTACTTATTCTTACTGATCACATATTACATTTTGTTGTATATAATTTTTCATATTAAACCACATTTTGTTTAAATAATAATTTTTAATTTGACTAAGTGTACTTGTTAAGAGATAAATAATATTAATATATAATGTTTTCTATCATGGTGATTTTTACACGAATATATTTATATAGAAATACTCTAATATATATATATATATATATTTACTCATTACCTTATAGGGGGGGTGACTTAAAATATAACTTAGATTAATAGTTTTTAAAACACTGTTATCATATTCATTATGTATTAACCTGTTTTCCGAACCCAACAGGATTATTTCTGGAACATTTTCAAAAGTTAAATTGAAAAAGTTTTACTTTTTACTCATATTTTTAAGAATTTAAACCCACTATTGTTAAAGGAAAATGGTCCAATTTTTAAAAAAAATTACATCAAATGAAAGAAATAAACATAAAGTATTTATGAAAAAAATATTGTATTAATCCATACATTTTTCAAAAAGTTATAGTAATTTAAAGTTAAAAACATAATATTGAAAATTCTAACACAAAAATAGCAGGTTTATAAGTATGGCAGTTATTTACGCGTAGAAATTAAACAAAATAAAGTCCGACATTTTTTTTTCATAATAAAGCTTTAATTTAGGATATATATAAAAGTGTCAGTATTTCCGGAACATTTTCCAAAGTTAAGTTTAAAAAGTTAATTTTTTGTGAAAAAGTTGTGTTAGATTTTCAAAAAAATGATATCAAATAAAAGGGAAATATCTAAAGTTTCAATATAAATAAAATTGTTGTTGATTTGTTAATTTTTTAAAAAGATATGGTAGTTTAAAGAAAAAAAGTGTCAAAAGTTTTTTTTTTAGTGATTATTAAAATTGTAATTTTTTGGACATTTCTTCCATTTACGGGGAATGAGGGAAATTTTTTTCAATTTTTAAGGGTAATTTTTAAGAGATCTTTTGATGTATGGTTGAATGAAATCGGTCCAGTGAGAGCTGAGAAAAATTGGCAACAAACACATACACAAAAAAAAACACATTTTAATAAAATTAATATCATTCGAATCGAAGCTAATAGCTATTTTATAATGACTTAAAATAAATTACTGTGTAATACCAAGTATATTATTACTTAAATAACAGACAAAAATATATTGATATGATCGTGAAATTAGCTTTTCACATAAAAATAATTAATTTTTTTTTTTTTAAATGTATAAATATTTTAAACAAAACAATACCCATAAATAGTTAACTCTGTTTTTTTCATTGCTTTGTGAAATAAGACGTCAGTAAATAAAGTATTTAGCAAACAGTATCAAAAAAATACGTTATAGTAAAGTTAAATAAATTATTAAACAAATATACATTATTAAATAAATTAAAATAAATAATGATTGACGTCATTAATAATTTTCTCAATCTATTTTAAAATTTGTTCCTAAATGTTCATAGTTTTAAATTATAAAACAAATTCATAAATTTTACATACAAATATTCAAACTATAGAAAATAAAAATTGCATAGACTAACGCATATAATGTGTATAAATTGTATACATACGAAAATTGTAAAAATAATATAAAATAGAATTTACCTTCGTTAAATATTACACAGGATATTATCAACAATGGAGATATCAATTGCCAATTCTAGAATATAATTAATATAATTTTTATGATTTCAAATGAGCATCTCAGATAATGTGTATTACTCACCATCATTTTTATTCTTATTGTTCAGTGTTAAATATTGAATAACTATTGACGATTTTTTAACTACTTTAGAATATATTCACTAATATAATACTAATGTAAAATCAACTACTAACATAATTTATTTCTACTTCTATATTTTTAAATATAAAAGGAGTATTTTAAGAAAATATTAAAGTTTATAAAATTATTATTTTTAGTCAAACTATTCATACTCGTGTAAGAAACAATAGTTAAATCAGTATTAGTATGAACACTTGATTTAATAAAAAAGGCGAATTATAATTACAAATAAAATTCCCCCCGTTGTGCATAAGGCAATTGATATGGTTTTTGGTGAATTGGTTGACTTGTACTTGGTGTATTAATCTCGTAGTAAACTATGTCTGTGCAGGTTATTTTATTCCCATTTAAATGAAATATATCAGAAAATTTGTTGCATAAACTCATAGTAGCTTCTCTTTCATCTGTTGTCATATGATCAACACGCAAATACTCTCTTAACAATTGTAACCTGTCTGACGAGTTGAACTGTTTATGTTTTGTATTATATAAAATGATATATCTTCTAGTTTTGGTATCGTAAAAGTCCTTGGACAGTCTGCAATATTGTTTACGCTTATTAATATATGTTGGTTTGTCACATTATTTAATACTTTTTCGCAGTTGATATTTTCACTCAAAGCTTGCGCATGAATTAATACTTGCTGAGCTTCCAATTGTTGATTATTGACCTTGACTGGAATTATATTTTCACTGCGTGCCAAAAGTACCATATTGGTTTCCTTTGGTATGAATACTTCACTTTTTCCGATGTTAATCACAACTTGATTATCCATTAAGAATGGTTTACCGTCTTCAGTGTTGGATATGATGATGAATCCACGTGAAATTCGAATGTACGGTTATTTGTACCAAACTTTATTGTCAACTGAGTAGAACCGATTATTCGGACTAACTGATCACTACTAACCTCTTTACTTCTCCACATTGTTTACGTTCCCTCTATTTTTCACTCGTTCGCTCTATTTTAGAATACGGAGTGGTTGTGTGGCATCCTTATTTAGCTAAAGATCAACTCCGTATTGAAAGAGTACAGAATCGCTTTTTATCTTACGCCGCTTATTTATTCAAAATTATCCACCCCCCTCATGACTACTCCATTATTCGATCCACACTTAATATCCCTACTCTTAGTTCCAGGCGATTTGATGCAGACCGTTCATTTATCGATGCTCTCCTTAATGGTCTAATTGATGCACCAGACCTTTTGTCTTCTATATCCTTTCGTGTTCCATCCTATCCCACTAGAAATCACATTCCCTTTCATGTTCCCTCTCATCATACCTCCTATAATAATAATAATCCAATACACAGAATGCTACGCTCTCTCAATAATACTTAGTTTTTTGGTCACATTTACTTTTATAAAAATTTAACTGTCTTATATTAATTATATATTATATTTATCTTATAAATCTTAATTTATTGTCATCATTATTTTGTTGTCATAGTTTCTTACTCTATGTTTTACATATATGCATGTACATTATTATTATTTTTTTTTCTCTCTTCTTTTTGTTATATTATGTTATATATTTAGGTTACCATAATATTATTCCTGTAAATTGCCGTTTGGCGTTAAATAATTAAAAATTAAAAAAAAATAATAATTATTATTAATTATATTAATATTTAAACATTAACATATCTTCTTGTGCTATTGAAAATGTTATGGTTTATTAAATTTTGTAATCTTTTGTTTTCCTTTTATACTTTTTTTTTACTATAAATATAATAGAAATTTGTGTTTTCACATTAAAAGTGAAAATGAAAGAGCAACGGTCGCAATGACGTCGTGGTGTACGTCTGAAACAAAGTACCGGTATTGTAAACTCAGTAATTAACAGTCTTCCGTTCGAAGCTCACGTGCCAGGATATCAGTTCGCGGGCCCCAGAACTAAATTACAAAAACGTTTGATTCGTGGTGACCGTGGTATCAATCCATTGGATGCAGCATGTCGTGAACACGATATAGCATACGTCAAAAGTAATTCTCTTAAGGACCGTCATCACGCCGATTAAATTTTAGAATACCATGCCTGGGAACGAGTGCGTGCCAAGGACGCTAATTTATCAGAACGTGCAGTGGCTTGGGGTGTGACAAATGCGATGAAGTTGAAACGCAAACTTGGTATGGGATTCAAAATAAAAAAAAAAAATAAAAAAGTTGTGTCAAATTTACAAATTACAGCACAAAAAGCACTGCTTGCAGCCAAACACAATATCAAGATGAGTCCCATGCACATACCTCGCATAATAAATATCCCATTAATATAATATATACCAAAAATAATACCATTAATTCCTATTTTTGCCGGGCTGTTGGCACTAGGAGCATTGCCCGGTGGTGCCGCAAATGTTGTAAAGGTTGCCAGTGAGTTCAATCATAGGGGTCGGACCGGTGTTAAAGTAGGAAATGGAATGTATATTCGACCATACGGTACCGGATACAAGATTGACAAAAGAAAGCGAACAAGCAAAAAAATAGAATAAAAAAAACGAACAAAAAGTGTAAATACAAAACAAAAAAACTAATATCTCAGCTACCCAATCGTGCGTTATTTGACGATGAAATAAAAAATTTCGCACGTCACGTGCTCGATTCTCATGTATTTCGCGGTGTATTTTGTCGTNCACACGTCACATGCTCGATTCTCGTGTATTTCACGGTGTATTTTGTCGTGATACGCTGCCCCGTACACCACCTCGTATAAACGAGATGGGCGTAATCAATTTGGATTTATTGAGCAATCGTGGCACTCATTGGGTGGCTTACAGTAAACGTGGTGATCACGTAAAGTACTTTGATAGTTTTGGCAATTTACCTCCTCCATTGGAAGTAATACAGTATTTTAAAAGATGTACTATCACGTTTAACTACAGAAGCTATCAGACATTTGACCAGATCAATTGCGAACACTTGTGTTTAAAATTTCTCATGAAAAATGTCGTCAAGCGTAAAAGCATCGTCGCTGACAGTTAGCGGTAAAGGATCAATAATCGAATGTAATTTTAATCCACACATCGATGTTTCCGATAATTGTGAAATCGGACTGTTACGCTTACACACTTGGAACTAGATGCCAAACATTGATGAAAGTAATAATGTAATTGTTTTTTCTAAGCCCGGCCATGAATCCATACTTACGGTAACACTGCCCGTCGGAACGTACGAAGTGGAAGATTTAAATAATTATATTGCCGAACGGTACAAAAAAATTTCATTTCAATACACAATTATTGAAAAAAATGAAGATATAAGAGTGACTTCGTCGTTTAAACTCGTAGTGANAAAGTGACTTCGTTGATTAAACTCGTAGTGAACCACGTGACAATGCATTGTGAAATATCGTGTGGACATCCAATTGATTTCACTCGACCAAGATCTTTTTGTCGTTTATTGGGTTTCAATCCTCGACATTTGGACACTAATAGTATAAACATATCGGATTATCCAGNTTATAGTATAAAGATATTGGATTATCCAGTACCCATAACAAGTATTACATCTATTCACGTAGACTGTAATGTTATTGTAGTCTCATTCCACAATGGATCACAATCACATACATTACATGAATGTTCTCCCAACGTGGCACTAGGCTACCGCATTATAGAGATACCCAGACAAATTTTTTACTACCCGTTAAATACAAACGTGTTGGATACAGTACGGATCGCTTTACGAAATCAAGAAGGATGTCCAATAAATCTCAAAAACGAAGAATTATTAGTACGGCTGCACATTAAACATAAATAACAACAGAGAAGAGAAAATTTTCCATTCAATTTCCATCCACATTCGTTCACAAATGGTTTTTCGTTACATGTGTACAAGTGAATTTCACTATTAACCATTTGTTTGTCAATAACACACAATTACATTTCATATGACGTACGTTACCGCTGAAAACAGAGTAAAACATGCCTCTGATTTTTACTAACCATACGCACACTTCAAACGTATCTACTGCGGTAACAGTGAAAAATAAGAAAAAATCACCACACTTAGTGATTGATGGTGTACACAAACATCAGCATCGTGGCGATGCTTTCAAATGGTCTTGGACTGTACAACGAGTAAACCGTGTGCCGTCCTTTTCGAAAAAACTGTCAAGAAAAAATATTGCATATCTAAAATTGCTGGGTTGTCGTGTTATCGTCTAAACGAAAAAACAATGTCAGACTATCTACAAGTTTTAGAAAAATACCAGCAGATTGACAACGTGAAGCGAGAATACTACTTGGAACATCAATGATACAACAATTCGTATGGAAACAACGATGAGATTCGCATTGCGTAATAAGGAAAAATTTATGATACCGTGCGAAAGTTACTTGCAGATCGAGGGGAAAGTTGAAAAATCGGTTACAGCCGTCGGTACAGTAGTAATGAATCAAAATTCTATGATGAATCTTTTTGATGAAATTAGATTTGAAATAAACAATCAGACAATTGATAAAACAAAAAATGTTGGTGTAACTACGACTATGAAAGGATACTGTTCGTTCACGCCTAACGACATCGTACGGTTACAACCAGCCGGATGGAAAAACGAAAATAAATTATACAAAGACGAAGACTTCATGAATGACAACGAATNATGAAGACTTCATGGATGTCAACGAATTCGTAGCACAATGTCCGCTGTACATGTGTATGGGATTTTTCGAACGATACCGGCGTGCATTAGTGAACTGCAATCAAACACTTATTTTGATACGATCGGGCACCGACAGTTCCGCTATAATGCTCGTACCACCAACAGAAGCGCAAAAAGAACAGGTTATGGCTAAAAGTAATATTGCGTTAATCAAACAGACGAAAGTGAATATTACAAAAATTAAATAGGTCGTGAAGTATTTCGAACCAAATGTGAAAACGGAATTGGGTCTAATGCGTATATTGGATAATAAAAAATGGTTACCGTAAGAGTTTCAACACTGGGACGATGCAGTATACCCACTGGTTTCGCAAACAACCGCTCATACGTGGCCGGTGCGTGCGTACTCAGGTGTTGAAAAACCCAGGTATTTACTCATAGCCATGGTGACGGAATCCGATGGGGTACA